GGGGTAGGGAAAGGGAGCCAACCCCCTGGCAACGCCCCTGTCTTTTGATTCCAGACTTAGATCAGCCCCAGAGGCTTTATTGGGTTATCTATTATCGCCCATTAACACAGACCCTCCCCCCTCCCCCCCAACACACACACCAAAAAATACAAAAAAAGCAAGCCGAAACGTTTACCTGTTAATACGGAGGAATTTTCTGTTTCTTTTGCCATATCAATCGCCTTTAAAATCATCTCTGTGGATTCCTCTAGACGACTTTGATAACAAGCAGCCATGCTTTTTTCTAGAAGGATGACAATTTCAGCTTCCTTACTTTGGTACTTGCGTGACAGCGTGACGACTATGTCATCAAATAATTCCCATTTACCATTGTCACGCACAACCTGAAGTTGTAGCATAACTTCATCTGATATTCTGCAGAGCTGAATGTATGAATCTGAAGGGCTTGCTGGAGGAATGTTTTTAAGGACTGCTTCCGCGATGTACACCTTATTCATGGTGCTGCTGTTGCTTCGTGATCTTGGTCGACGATTTACTTTCCGTCCCCTCCCTCTGTGCTTTTTGACAATGCATGACATATGCAAATCACTGCTTGACTCTTCGGAATTTTTTCGCTCATCTTCGATCATCATGTGATTATTATTTCCAACTTGAGTTATTTCAGATTCGACCAAGATAAACAATATTTTCTTATCCGAATCATTCGTGTTGTTCTGGTCAATTCGGGTCAGTGTTTTTTCATCCAATCCGTTGGGCTTCTGTCGTACAACGTCGTCATTCAAGTTGTTTACATCTTTGTCGACATAATTCGGTATATTTTCTATTTTCCCATCCGAATTCCTTCGCTGTACAACTGTGTTGTAAACATTTTTATCTTCCTCTGTATGAAGTGGTTTATTTTCTTTTAATTCGTGGTCTCGTTTCTTTCGCTGTTCTTCTAATGGTTCGTCGTTGTTGGAAGTCTTCACGTTGTTGTGTTTTGAGGGATTCCCTTCYTGGCCGAGTGTCTCAGCCTTCGCCAAAACCACTTCATCTTTTTCGCATTTGACTTTAGATTGCAGTTCTCGAGTTTGTGAACACGGCATTTTTGATCCCGACAACGGGAGTACGTCCTAGTGCGTAGGTACGATCTTTAGAAACCCAAGTTTCGTTTTGAATTTAGACTACGCATTCTGTTAAGTATGGCTTCCAAGGCCGATCGATTTTTCCACTTTGATCGATGATTTTCTTGCTGTAAAGTGCTGTTTGACATTGGAATCCTCATAAAACAAAATACTAGATATTCTCGACGGGGTCACATTGTTTTCCCTTCAGAGATCTTCAAGGATCTTCGTAATGTAGTATCGATCGATGATTTCGTACTAACGGCTCTCGTTTGAGTGAATGAACCAAAATATTTACGTCTGACGTAATGTGCTACAAGGGGGAATCACCTATAGGCCGTGGATTTTAAACTTGACGCCATTTTCCCTTGCTCTGAAATTAGTCATATCTCTATGCTTTATTTTTATAAAATTATGCTTTATATCCGCTTTCGTTAGTCTACTCACGTGAAGAATTGATTTCAGAATAAGGTCTCGGGTATTTATGTCAACAAAATACCGATACACTGAGAGGGCTATAAAAGAAATCACACTTTTTCTCAGTGGAATTTGGGCTTTTTTGTTTTCTTTTTAGCCTCGCACTCAAGATAATTTTGAAAGGAGTAGGCAATCATTGCGCTACAGAAAGGAATTGTGGGGTAATAAGAATGTCTTCGTAGTCGTTTCTAAACGGCGAATGGCCATGCCGAGCTGATGCGCCATTTTGACTCATGTCTCCGTGATAGTGTGACCACAATTTTTTTCGGTCGTRCAACGCCGATCGTAATTCGCCGTTCACCCCTTCAACCTTATTTCTGTTATTTGAAATAGCTGTATGCACTGCCCTCTGGCTCATTATCCTCAGGTTCTCGTTCTTTTTCTAATGCTGCTGCTTCTCTATTTAATAAAATAAATCCTGAAGTGAAACATGTTAAGCCCGGGGAGGGGGGGGTGGGGGTATTCTTGCCCGTTTAGGGTAGGGATGTGCCGCTTAGCCTACTGAACCCTGACCCTGTTCCAGAGTAAAATTGCTGAAAGTCATACCCTTTTCCCGAGCAAGATTGCTGAAATTCATAACCTATTCCGGTAGGGCTGTCCACAAGTTGCTCGGCAACTTTTGGGCAACTTTTCCGATTTCGAGCAACTTTTTCACTTTCGAGCAACTTTGAGCAACTTTTCATTTTCTAGCAACTTTCGTTCTTTTTTTAACTTTTACATGCATTTAAACAAATTATCACGCTAAATAAGGACAAAAAGTGAGTTTTTTTTTCTTTTACTCTAATGATTTCAATACTTGTCTTTGCATTTTGTATACACTTTGTGAAGTTCTGGTCTTCCTGTGGTAAACTGCTATGCATGTGGACAGCGGTTGTAAAATCTAAGATGTAAACAAAATGGCGGAARAAGCCACATGCTCGATTAATTCTGACACAGAACAAAGCCCACTAACAATAGAAGCCAAGTTCTGCATCAACAGAGAGAGTGTTCAGCCTCCTTCAGGGTGCGTTCAACAGGCAGCAAGATGCTGCATTAGAACAAACTGTTGAAGCCTCTGTTATGCTTAGATACAACAGGAACAAAAGATAAAGCCTTTACTATAACATGATTGACTATAAATTTGCTTATGTTATCTATCAAATGATTGACTACAAATTTATTATAGTACAGTATTTATAACATGATTTATAAATTTGTATAAAATATTATATAGTGTATTTAGTATTACCCTCAGTAAATATAGACATTACTTACTTATTCACTGGATTCTATGATATTAAATCATCAAATTGATTGCAAATATGACCTTTTTATTGAGCAACTTTTGAGCAACTTTGAGACTTTTGAGCAACTTTTGAGCAATTTTTGGATTTTTTGAGCAACTTTTGAGCAACTTTTTGGACTTTTTGGGGCAACTTTTTGGACTTTTTGGAGCAACTTGTGGACAGCCCTATAATCCGGTATCGCGAAAATGGATACCCTGTTCCAGAGAGGAGGAGAGAGCGTGATTCCATATACCCTGTCGCAGAGCGAGCGCGATTTTATATACCCTGTTCCAGAGTAGAATCGCTGAAAACCATACCCTGTGTGGCGGCACGTACCCGTATAGCGAATATAGGGGAGTACCACCATCCCCCCCCCCCCCCGGGATGTTAAATCAGTGCAAAGTTTCACTTCCAATTATTGGCATTATCACCAAACCTGATTATGTTAAGGTTTGGTGGTAGTACCGACGATTGGAGGTGAGACTTTGTCTGTCGTTCCTTTTTCCCTCATTGCCTTTGTCATTGCTAGTTTTATTATTTGTATTTTTATAGATCTCAATTTTAGCATATATTACTGACATATATTTAAAATATTTGATTTTATCAATACATGTATCATGATTCATTTTATACACAGCTTCAGTGTAAATAAGTTTCTTCAAAATTCTGAATTCTGTGTTTGAATAAAGTTTATTATTATTTGACTTTTTTTTGGGCGATCAGAGAAACGAAGGTGAATCCGACCAATCATCAGATTCCTCAGTAGCAGCATTTACATCACCAAAATGCCCCTCGCTAGACCCAAGATCTGTTTTACTTTCGCTGTCATCGGTGCAGACGTCAGATGCGGTGTTGCCATGGTCACGATCACCATTAGCAGAGATGTCATTCATGGTGTTGTCGTGGTTACCACCACCACAGACGTTAGATTTGGATGACATGTTGCTATGGGTCTTTCCATTAACACAATCCACAAGTGCATTGTTACCATGGCTACCAGCGCTGTTGTCATGGTTATCATCCAAGCAGTCGTCAGGTTTTGAATTGCTATGGGAACCACCATCCTTGGTTGTAGCAGAAGCATGTCTGATATCTTTACGTCTATCATTTACGAGCTGGATTTCTGTATTGAACCCAAATTTTTCGGCCATACTCAGAGCTTCCAAGGCATATTCCTCGGCTTCTTCATAAAGTTCCATACGATAATGTAAGTCTGATTGTGCAAGAAAAAATTGAATCTTTTCCCCGCGTGTTGTCTCCTGCCAGTAACGTTCTCTTATGACATCTAGATATTTCTTGGCTTCCTTGATATTTTCTTTGCTAACAGTTCTTTGACGCCCTGTTGGTATGAAAACAAGTCCACAAGTATTTGAGTTTGCAATATCTATATGGGATCAGTATCGAATGAAATTGTTACTGAGATACACATGCAGCCGTTTTAAAATGCCTTTTTTTCTTAATCCGCCCCCTTCCCCCCCCCCCCCCCGCGTACATTTTTTGCAAATTCCTCCTCTGCGACAAAACGGAATTTATGTCGCGTAATAATTTATGATATCAAAAGCAGCAAAAGCACCGTAGCCGAGATATATCACAGGTAGCCCAGGCTTACCACTGAATCGATCGAGACAGACAGACAGACAAAGATTATATGGGTATCATATGGGTATTTTTGAATCCTCATTTTTACGCTTTAAAATAATTCAAATCAAATAAAATTCCCACCGTGTGTTGTTGATATACTGAACAGCCCCATGGTTTGATTACAGCTCATTTCGTTCGGGTTTAGATGACGCTTCCCCACCACAAAAATACCCATATGATACCCATATAATCTTTGTCTGTCTGTCTGTCTGTCTCTCGATCGATTCAGTTATTCAACACTAACGGAGAGCCTGGGCTACCTGTGGATATATCATACACACAAGTCCCACATACGTATACTGTAAATACATAAGTGAATATCCAGGAATTTGAATCTTACGAAATGCATTTCTAATAAATTTTTTTAGATGAAAAGTTAACTAACCAGTTGATGTTCGACAATCAAGTAGCAGCATAGCCATCTTAATGAACGCATAGCGGTGGGTCTTCAAGTACCGTTTACTACTGGAGTCTTCTTTCAGCGCCAATATCTGGTCAATGGCTCTTCGCAAATCTGACATTACAGTGTCCAGACAAGTTGATTTGGGGTCGACACACAGCAAGAGGAAGTCCATTAACGCACTTGCTTTTTCGTATGTCAACATAGCCGTGTCGAGGACCAAACCCGTGTGATGTAGGTTCTGACAAGCAAGCTGAACACAATCAATTGCCTTGCCTGTTTTTTTCTCTCTGCGATACACGGCTGATAGGTAGTAATGTATTCTACCTAGACCATGAAAAAATAGTGAATGAGTGCTCATATGTGTGCGCATTTAGTATTTTTATGAGGAGTCTTAAATCAAGCTACATCTATGACCTACTCATTTAGCACCCCTATTTATGTCCCGCCCAATCCTGTCTTACTTCCATCCCTCAAATATAGAATGTACTGGCTATCCAAGGCTATCCATAGCCAGATAGTACATGCACTATACTAAATGAACATATGGTTTTTTGATAACTGATCAACTAACCTATGAGCAACGAAGCGTTTGTCGTGTCAATAGCAATAGCCATGCTTTTAGCTTCCTTCAACAGCTTTTTGGAGTCTGCAAAACGGTTACTGTAACAAGCTGCTTGGCCTTTTTCAATCAGGATCATGATTTGAGCTTCGTGATTTGGATACTTTTGATATAGCGTGACAGCCACCTCATCAAACGTCTTCCATTGTCCCTCGTCACGCACTGCCTGAAGCTGTATCATGATGTCATCTGACATGCGGAAGTACTGGCGGTCGGAAGCTGAGAGGGTAACTGGTCCAAGGCTTTGATGAACTGTTTTTTCAGTCATTGCTGCATCTCTATTTCTCTTTTTATGGCGATATTTTGCTTTACCCTTTCTCCTCCTTGCCTCGGATCCTCTCTGCTCCTCGTCACTAATCATAAGAAATCTAATTTAGTATTCCATATTGATTCTCTCAGTTTTTGATTATCGGTTTTTCTCCCTTGCAAAAAAACAACTTCTAAACTGATTTTAATAGGTCTAGACCAATAGGTCACGTGACCCTACCCCGTAAAAAGAAACGTATGGACATCGGAAATTGAAAGAGCTCCTTGATTTTAGTGAGAAGGCGAAATTTCATTCAGGTCATGATCTCAACTACAGAAGAAACGGTATTACGGTAAATATAAAAGTGCACATCTTTATGAACTGAAAACTCGCCTGCTTTAATACTAATATCTGTGCACATTTCATTTATTGTGTTCATTTTTCACACAGCTTCTCGATTTTATGAAGGTTGGGTAAAGCCTTGTTTACACTGGCGTCATGAGCATCATATCGTAATCGTAATCGTAAGAAGGTTACGCTCTAGTGTAAATAAAAACGACGCAAGCAGAATCGTAAGCCTCGCTTCCTTGCTTATTTTCCCGCCAGCTTTGAAATTTCATCATCATCATCATCATCATGATCGTGACGAGCTTAGTAATTGGCCAATCCTTGCGCGGATTATACGATTATGTTTTCTTGGTTCACACTCGATCGCAAAGTGACTTTAATCGTAATGGTAGTCGTAAGCAACAAAACCTTCTGATCCTAGCTTACGATTACGACGTGGTTACGATGCACCTTAATACGACGGTGCTTAAGACTAAGATTTTTGATTCACATTGAGTTAGAGTAACGCTGTTTACGACTGCGATTACGATTATGATTACGACGCCAGTGTTAAATTAATATGTCCTCTAAGTGCAAATGACCCTAAATCAGCGGATATAACCCAGAGATAAACCCTTGAATGAAGAAAGAGAGCCAAACAAATTCTACTGATATTATCAAATAGAAGTACTAAATAATAAGGGAATTCTTTTTGAGAGGCTATAGAACTAACGCATTCTTCCGTCCTGATCCCAATCTGCGGCGGCGTTATATACACAGGCTCGATTCTTAAACGATTATCATAGAAAAAGAGACAATGTTATGATTAGTATGATAAAAATTAGTGTACATGAAATAGTGTACAAAATTGATATCGACAAATAGTCCTTGATCTAGTGACTATTAGAGGGGTGTATACCATATAACGGTATGTGGTGAAAAAGTTGACTAGAAAAATTGTACAAACACTGAGGTCTACTGAACTTATCATTAATTTGTGTAAATAATGGTATATATGCCGCACTATACTGAGTCGCTATCATTCAACCAGAACAGTACATAATGTCACAAAGACATACACTAGAGACCATTATTGATTAATCATAAATGGTGTCTTGTGTTATGAACTGTTTTGATCGAGTAGGAGCGATTATTCGTCACTGAATAGTACAATTTGTAAGTATCAATTTTGATTTTATTTCATGATCAGTCTTACTGCTTGTACTCTATCAAGAACAAATACTGTCTTCTAACATAAGCGATTTTACCTGTCGTCACTCTCGTCATTCACTTCTTTAAAAAAACTGTTTCGTCTTTTCTTTTCCCGAGGGGGAAGTGAAAGTGAAAGGGATGTCTGCCTCGTGTCGTACACAGCTTCCCCATCTGCTTTCTGCACAACTTGTTGTAGTTCAATAATGGAATTCTCTTTACCAACTTGCGTGGCTTCGGCATTTATTTGGATGCATAAGATACCTACTTCACCAGAGTTGTTTTCATGGAGTTGAGGACTTTCATTTTTACGGATATCGAGAGATGATGTTTCGTTTTCATTCCTGAAAAACGAAAGCGCAAAAGGAGTAAGAAAGAGAAACAAAATCGTTTCATAAAGAATTTATCGCTTAACACATTCCATTAAACTATTATTGAATGATGTTCCCATTGAACTAAAAAACTCGATTGATTCAAAGCACGCAGCGCTTGTTTGCATTTTTCACCGGCATAACGGTTCAGGAAGCGCCTTACCTCATGGACGCCATTCTCTCGAGTATTGAGAGAGAATTTTTTATAATGTCGACGAAATTTTGAGTTTTTCTGCTTTCTATCACTGTAGTCTTTTCCTGCGAAAAAAATGTGTGCGAACTGCTTGATCTTTAAATCGATTTCACTGAAATACAGGCTCCGAAAACGTTACTACGCATCAAAAAATCATTCATAGACACTAACCAAATAGTATAGTAAATAGAACGCTATGTGGGGAATCCCCGAATAAATTAATTAAAGACCAAAATGGAAGACTCTGATTGGCTTATTTCCCTTCTCATTAAAATATTAGCGATAAAAGTCTTCTGTGGTTTGCCTTTTTTTGATGGATGCCATGAATTCATTCTAGATTATTTTGGCACTCCCTACCGGAAGAAATAAAACCGAAAGTAAAAACTAGTCACATAAACTGAAAATAAGAAACGATTCCACTTCTCTATCGAGAGTGACGAAAAAATTGAAGTACTCTATCCTTTCCTTTCTTTTTTCCTTCCTTTTCCTTCCCTTCTTTTTTATTTCATTTCTCTTTTGATCCTCTCTTGTTCCCTTGGCTTTTCCTTTCCTTGGTCTTAAGCATCTTTTAAGTATTAAAATACACCAAAGACACGTAGAAACTTTTTGGTAAGGTATATATATATACGTATACATTTATTTGATGTCTGTTAAAAAAAAAAAAAAAAGATTTCAATCCTGTCATGCTTCAACACGCTCTTTCAAGTTTTTTTAATTTTTTCTCCCAATATAAGTATGTCACTATCTTTTACAAGTTGCGTGACTGTCACGTTAACTTCAACTATCTATACAACAAAACTATTATTCTTTCCAAATATTATAATTGTTTATTGTTTCATATAAAACATTATGACATCCATTCATATGATATTTCACTTATATCTATTATTTATTTATTTGTTAATGTTTTTATTGCGTGACTTCAGTCCCATGGTGCAGCATACGTGCATGATATCGAGGGTGGCGTGGGGGAAGGTGTTCAATCGTTCAACAAGGCGCTCAACTAGGCATCATTTACAACTATTTTTATCTCAAAATGGGCAAACCAAAGACCTATTCCTGTACTGTTCAAGTAGCAGGACTCGAAGAAGACTTCGAATGTAGCATCACTGTAAGTTTCTAAGGTTAATTCTAGCGTTTATTCATATTATTCTTGAAGTTCTAGTCCTCCCATTAGCGATTGACCAGACATAACTTGAACCTCAATAGACAACCMTATTCAAATTGATCCTCTCATAGTCTGCATATTTATTCTTCAAATCCTTAACATTCGATACRCTACGAACCATTCTTAACATTATTACATGTTTCTAGGCTCAAATATTCACCCTAAGATCAAACATAACGAGTATTTCAATGAAATTTGTAAATAAAAACTTCGATGTTTTGAGGCGGCGCGAGAATAACGCTCAATATAAGTTATTATTTTGATCTTTTTTGTGCTTCTATCTCGAATATCTACCATAGAATTAGTTAATCTGTCATGTAAAACGGCAATAGATTTTACTTTGCAGTTATGAGTTCAAGGCTATGGAAATAATTTGCTTAGTAATTTAGTAGGGTGTTTTACATGTAGTTGGGTTGTTATAATAGTGCCGCTAGTTATTTACTTTGCAAGGAGGATAATTCGAAAAGACGATTTAAAAAGTCTGTATTTATACCTTTAAAGTTGTTAGGAATACTCCTATTACTTGGATTTCGTGCTATGAGATTGTAAAATATTAATATTTAAAAAGTTTTTCATCGAGTTTGGTGTCTGGGTGTTGATGTTGTTTGATCTTCTTGCAACAACATGTCATTTTGTTCTTTGAACTCTTCCTGATTTTTGAAAGGTTTTCTTTAATTACTTCATCCTAGAGACTTAATTTGTCGTTGTTTGTGAAGTCCAAGAATYCTCTAACACTGGGGGAAAGAAAAATCAACATCAGATCACAGATATAAGAAAAAAATCGGACTCTTTCTCGCTATAATTTCAAAGGTTTTTGTTTACTCTTCAAATAGTAGAATTGTCAAACCTTCTCAAGTAGACTCGTACTGTTTTGATTATAAAATAAAGTCGAGTTAAGTACAAAGACACAAAGTAATTGTTGCATATTCTGTTTTGACTTAATTTTATCATCCAGATGGATAACAGTTTAACATAAAAGACTGATCAATAGATAAATGTATGTATTCATACTTTACTGCGGGCGTCTACTATGATGATTATTTCTGTTCCAAATGACAAGTTTTATTGTTCTTAACATAATAGCGGAAAATTATTCACATGGTGGTTTTGGAATTCATAAAATGGTTATTTAAAATGCCATCTTGATTCCCAAGATCAAGACAAATATTGACGAAAAATGTTATTCATCAATTCTTTTGAAAAGCTTGATTATTAGAATCCTACATATTCAGATGTTGTTATCTTACTGTACTTGTTAACTGGTGTCTTACACTACTGCTGTGATATGTGTTATAATCCTCATAAATCCTTTTGACCATTTGGTATCTTATTATGTTCGCAGCTTCTTATARGCTATTGTGACAATGCAAAAGTTAATTTTTATCATTGTGTTTGCACAGCTTCTTGTGAAATAATCTTTAGAAAAAATTCTAGTTGGATTTGCTTTTCAATGGTGGACAGAAAGCCTAACAGGTTTTGCAAACCTCTTGATTAGGCTACCAATAGATTGAATATGAACTTAAGATTTATGAGGAGGGAGAAAACCAGAGAAGCTGGAGGAGAAACCCTCTAAGCACAGGAGAGAACTAACAAGCAAYGTCAGGATCCTGGATCTTAAAGCTTAAGGATGTTTCTGGGGAAATGAAGTTGCAATCAGAATTTTTTTAACTTGGCATAAACATACCCCAACATATTTTTCTTCAAAAAATGGAATAAAAATGGGGTTCACCGAATTTATGTTTTTGCTAAACGCTGTGGAATTATGGTATTCATTGAGGGAAAAATGCACGTTATAGAGTAACCTAAGAGATCAAAGAAATGCTTCAGGAAAAAAAAAAACATCAAAGAAATGCAGAAAACAAATCCATGGCTATGAAATATGAATTTCTTTGACATTTTTGAATTAAAAGTGAGTGAGTGTAAGAGTTAGTGATAAGGATTTATGAAACTTTCAATCTGTATGATGAAGTCAAAATGTGTACAATTCAAATACATCAATAGGTTGATTTTCCCCCTAAATTTGGTGTAAATCATTCCCTTGCAACCAGAATTTTTTAAATTTACATATTTTGTAGATTTTGGTAGTATCTTGATTTTAATACCAAGAAAAATGGGGTCACCAAATTGGTTCCTGAGATATTTTGCCGTAAAGGAGTGAAAAATTTGTTTTCTTGATATTTTGCCCATCAAAACATTCTCATGACATCATCATGATGAGCGCACGYGCACTAAACTCATGCATAAAATGGCTGCACACAAATAATGCCCACGAAGTCCTTAAGATAGATTGGGAATGCTGGACCTTGTAGACAGTAATATTTCAACCTTCCTTTTTCTTTTCTTCTAGAGGAAAACAAAAGGTGATTACTTGTTTGAGAAGCTTTGTGATTACATCAGTCTTGTCGAGAAGGAATACTTTGGTCTACGCTATATAGATGAGAAGGATGGCCAGGTAACCATGGAAACATTCATTGGGGAGGGGGTAGTGGGTAGCATAATTACATGAGCAAGTCAGCATTAAAGCATAAGCCTGCACAAGTCTATCTTTTTTTTTTTTGCTATCCTCTTTTCAGCAAGTATTTGCCAAATGTTGGCCATGGTAATATGTAATTTATGATCAACTATCATGGCTATAATACAAGTACGGATGACATCCCACCTACTGTTCAAGTATGATATATATAATCATTAGTTTTGGTTTTCATGTGAGTGAATTGAATTAAATGATACAGCAAATTTATAGCCAAATTGGAGCTGTGTGGTATCTTACAATCAATCAATCAATCTTTATATAGTACCAAAATTGCAAAATTACATAAACAACAAAAACACAGAAAATTGGTACAAGCCAGCTGTAATAGCCATTGGCTAAACGAGACAGTTGGCAAAACCATAGCTATGAGTTGTGGTTGGATGAATTAGTGAAAGATAAAAAGGATCCATTTGTGTATTATGTATTACGGCATGTCGTACCACATGTAGGTGTGTGCTGTAAGAACAGTACCATATGTTACCCACTCTTACTAAAACTGCTTTATTAAATGGTCTGTTGAAGAACAATAATTAGAGGTCCAGTATAGAAACGTTCTGTTTCTTTTGGGTGTTGATAAGTATTTATAACATGATATATTTTATCTTACTTTAGTTCAACTGGTTGGAGTGTGACAAAGGAATCCTTAGTCAAATGAGGAAAGGTAAATATAGTTAGGTAGACGTTGTAATCATACGTACAAATGGTGTTTGGCTATTTCTCTTGCCAAGGGGATCAATAGTTGCAATAGCAGTAGTGCACTTACCTCTCAGGATCGGGTTTCAGGTTTAATTCAGGCAGTGTTTCAAGCTAATTTGTTTACCAATCCCAGTATCTTTTAAGTGAAGGACTAACWAGAGTAGTAACAATAATGACAATAATGGTTAAAGAGTTAACTAGAATTCTCACTTGTAGCACCACTTCACTTCTATTTTGCTGTCAAGTTTTACCCAGACAACCCTACTACCCTCAGAGAGGATATCACAAGGTTGGTAYGATTTTTATCTTTTTTACTTTACTTTTAAGAACACTTTCTTAACTCTTATGGGTGATTTAAAGTTGGCCTGAAGGAAATAGTGAATAATAACTTAAAATTCTAAAAAAAATTAACCAGTAAATTTTTGAAATTACATCATAGGTCTTCATCCTAAGATATGTAATGTTATATCAAAAAATAATATCAAATTGTTGATTGTCTGATTCATTGTCTTCATTAGATATCACTTCGTTCTTCAACTAAGAGAGGATCTCCTCAAAGGTCGACTACAGTGCTCCAACCCTATACATGCTTTGCTAGGATCATACATTGTACAAGGTACAGTATACACGTATACATAGAGTTCATATTACTATTGAGAAGTAAGACTGATGGGGCATACCATATGGGTCACCTATCCTGTTTTTGACCTTGCCATTTGGGTAACTACAGTATTTCAAATTAATTTAACATCTAAATAATTTGAAGTCTTCATAGATTTGCTCTCTCAAGCAAAGGCATGTTTTAGCTCCTTGCAGTTTCTATAGAGCAGTAAGTTGTCGTATGACTGTGAAAAGCTCATGGCAACGCATACCTGTGAGCTTGAATGTGAAATAAATTACCCAATCAAACTACTAGAAAACATTTTTGTTGCATCAAGGCACACACATGGCATCAAACTTTTTACAGTCATACAAAAACTGCTGTATCCTTCACCTTGATAATGCAATTATTTGATGTTAAGTGTCATGGGCCAGATTTTCTATGACTGAGATCCATCTTAATTAAGAAAAACTCTTGTTTGTTTCCATCAGCTGAGCTGGGTGATTATACCTTTGATAATCATGACCATGGATATCTGAGAGACTTCAAGTTTCTATCCAGACAGGTAAGAGGGAACAACTTGCATTCATTTTTCAAGTAGATTAGTATTATATAATAAGGTATGTTTGTTTATATTGTAGCCTCATGAGGTGTTGAACAAAGTCGAGGAGTTTCACMAGAAGCACATGTAAGTATTAAAATTTTTGCTTGAAATACTATGATAGGATATCATTGCTTGACACTCAGGCAAGTCCACTACTGTAGTCTAGGACTAGTAAATCTTTCCACCATTATTGTGATTAAGATACAAAATGTATTGTGATTATAGGGTTTACTAGTCTATAGGGTAATGGGATTTTTGGATGACTAATTATCTGCGATAGTATATTACTCTGCTGAGCTTCAGGATTTATAGACTTAGTAGCTTATTACCTAGTATCTGAAAATGTTAGTGTCGAGCGCTGGGTTTTCATTATATTAATACTTGTTGATGAAGTAACAATATATTCTACATTATTTTATTGCTTTTAGTGGCATGTCTCCTGCTGATGCAGAATTCCAGTACCTTGACAATGTCAGGAAACTTCCTCTGTACGGCAGAGATCTCCACCAGGCTTGGGTAGGTGCTACTAAAATGAATTACATATGAGGGTAGCGATTGACTGGGAGAGAGCTGCCAATATACAGTAAACCTTTATCATTTAATTCTGCAAAGAATGTGCCTGATAAGTAAATAGACCATGCCTTATATTAGACCATATTATCAGCTTTTCTCATATGCTCAAGCTGGGTACGATAGAGTTTAGAGAGAGTTTGAGCATTTATTTGCAGAATTAAATGATAAGCAACTTATCAATTGGCTAAACATCTGATACAACTTTGCATTTTCACTCGTCACTYGTATTTGTAAGTCTCCATGACTCATAAATATTCACAGCCCTATCAGATGCTTAGCCGACTGATAACTTCTATGTATCGACATCTCAGAATCACCTCACATAGGAGAATCACGATACAAAACTTATTGTTATTTTAAGCTACCAATATGGGTTTATATTAAGATTTTGGAACAAAATATAAGCAAACAAAAATTGGCCTTCGTCACTTTGCAACTTCAACCAATACAGGATATATTTTTTCCCGAGAAACCTTTAATATAAACCTGTATTGACGGCTCAAAATCACAAAATAATATGAAAGATAGTAATATTCTTGTTTAYGAATAATGTATATTTTTTTGTGTTTAGGATGCTGAAGGTCAAGCAGTGACATTAGGTATTTCTGCCTGGGGTATTGAAGTGTTCCATAACAACAGACTCATGCAAAGATTCATTTGGTAGGTTTTTTACAATATTAGTTCTAGCACTCTTGATTTTAAATGTTACCAATGATGAAAGTTACAATCTATTCCAGTCATGCATAAGTTAAGTTTGTCCATCTTTATCTTCAGGCCAAAGATCATTACTATTTCATTCAAGAGTAAGAAGTTCTCACTCACCCTTAGAGCTCCAAGTGATGTAAGTTGCGTTTCAAAATAACTGAGTTCCTTTGCATGCTCTGATTGGTTGAAATACCATTTTAAAAGAGAGTATCTAAAATGTTCACGTCATTTTTACTTTGAACTTTCATATTAAAAAACACAGTATTTTTCATTAGAAAATACACTAAACAAGATCTGTGGTCATGGGTCAAAATATTTGGAAAAATAATTAAAAGTTTGGAATGGAGACAACAAATTTAAGCCCAAATAATATAATAAATCCTTACTTCAGCTACAATGTCACTATTAGCAGTTACACTCCATCCCAAGGCGATACCACAATTGACTTGCCTGCATGTTCTTCAAACCCCATTATACATGTAATAAAGATTACTATACTTCAAAGTCACAAGTGCACCATGTAGTGTTCTTGTACTTTACATACTTTGAACTTTTCTTTCAGGAAGCTCAATACAGTGCTACTACTGTTTGCTTTGCATTTAGCAGTCGACGAGCATCTAAACGCATCTGGAAGGTTTGCGTGGAACATCATTCATTTTTCAGGTATGTTAACTCACTAATTAAAGGTCACGGGGTGAAATAACAATACCTCCTCTACCCCTCTCTCATCAATGCTTGGCTATGATTTACAATTCCTACCCAGCTTTTAGTGTGTTGGATATGCACTGATCAAAAGAAAAGCCATGACAGGGTAATGGACAGTAGGATATCCTCAATAAAACAAATCATTCCCCTGCACTTTCCCGCAAGGCAATCATTGCTGATGGTTCATATTTATCTTTGATAGACTCAAGACACCAGCACCAGTTCAAGCAAACAGTGGCTTATTCAGAATGGGATCAAAGTTTAGATACTGGTAATATAATTATGTGCTTGATGCTTCCTTCCATCTATCTCTTTCTGTCCATTCACCTAACCACCTATCTATCCATCCCATCCCATCCATTTTTCAATTCATTCATCTACCCAACTATCTATCTATCCATCCCACCCTATCCCATCCATCATCCCATGCATTCATCACCCACCCTTTTGCCCTTTTTGTATCCATCCCATTCCATTTTTCACCCATGCATTTCATTCCATCACATCCATATATCCAGCCATCCACACTGAAGTTGGGCTAYTTATCTCATCCATCCATTTGCAGTTCATTTAATCCCTTGTTGGTTTATTCTAGTGGCCGCACACAGCATCAGGCACGTCATAATGAACTCGTTGAAACAAGAGACCCACCTTCATTTGACAGAGTTTCAAGCAAACGATTTTCTATGAAAGTTTTAGACAGTAAGTCCTTTGAGTTTTACCATAAATAGTCAGAGTACTATTTAATGAGAGTAGAATACAACATGCAAACAGCTCATTGTGTTCATCTTTCTGGTTTTTCTTTGGGTTCTATGATTTTCTTCCTCTGCAGAACCTAACAAGCTAAATAACTTGTCATTGCTTATCACCACCGTAAAGTACAGCAGTGGCGCAGCTCAACAGGGTTGAACTGAAAGCATGAGAAGGCACCTCTGGCAGCCACTATACAGCTGTACAGTCCATGTATGACCCAGGAGTACAGCCCTAACCATTCCAAATAATATAAAATATTTGCAGCCTTAAATGTTTGGTMTCATTCTATTTGTTTTGTTGTTGTGCAGGTAATAGAAGAAGCATGCTGATTGATGATGACAGTAGAAAAGAGAAAACCAACAAAGCATTGGACCATGACGAAGACAAAAAAGAAGAAAAAAGAGATGAGGAAAAAGAAGTACCAAAAGAGGTTGAACAAGAAGAAGAAAAGAAACCAGGTTACTATTGATATTAGCCTGCAGTGCTAATTGTGTTCTGCGGTGTTGCTGTGGTGTGGTCTGCAATGGTGCTGTGTTGGGGTGGTGCTGTGTTGCGTTGGTGATGTGTCRTGGTGTTCTGTGTTGAGATGTTGTGGTGGTGCTTTGCAGACCGCCAAGCAACGCAGGCTGTATGTATATTAGTATCAATAATCTTCTTCTTGAATGTATAATTGAATTTTTTAGATCTTTTTAATTTGATTCACTGTGACCATCTGATCTGGGTATAGCAACTTGGGGCTGATTGGTCAACCATGGTTGAATCTTCAATTGAGTCCATTTGGCCATTTGGGGGGGCCCGGAGGTATCAATCAACAATGACTAACACTGGTCTGTCAGTTGACCATGAACAGCAGACTGGTCAACCATAATTAACATTGCTTGACTGATCAAAACTCATTCCACAAAAAACAGTCCATCAGCCAAGGTCAATTACCTATGAAATTACTAAGCTTGCTCTGGGTCCCTAGCTAGTATACCAGTAGTATTTTTATATGATCAAAATTTTTGGCAGCATTTGTCTCCTAAAGGGTACAATGAAAATCAAAAGATTTTTTTTGTTACTGAGAAGTTAATGCACATATTTTTACTTACTTTTCTTTTTCAGAAGCACCAAAAGAGGCTGCAGCACCAGCTGGACCAGTTGTAGCAAGCGAAACATAGTAGGTTGACCAGTGATACAGTGTAGTCATTACTCTTGAATTAGAGAAATTGTTGTTGTCCACACATTTGGTTTGGTTCACACTATTTCTACTACAGGAGCTTCTCTTACATGTATCTTCATAGTTTTGAGTCAGTGTACTGACAAATCTTGGGAGAGTGCCTAAGTGTTACCAACTTGGCACCTTCCTCCATTGCATGGGTTAGGAGGTAGAATCCATGTACAGTATATCATGGATCTGTTTTGTCTTTGTTTTCTCATCCTGTTTGTGTACACTCATCATTCCTCCTTTTTCAAAGTGTATCTTCAGAAGCCTTGTTAGAGTCAGGGGAAGGGAATACCAGGTATTAAATCTTCACTATTTAAAACATTTTAAACTGATAAATCCATTAAAGAATCACTATATTACATTCTTGATAGATTTATAAATGTATAACCCAAAAGAAATTATTTGAAACTGTAATATTGTATTGAAATATGCCAACATTAAAAGGGTTATATTTTAACCCTTTTAGATTTAAAAATCTATATGTGATATTAATGAAAAGGATTAAGAAACTATAACAATTGAATTATTAAAACTAATCAATTCTCAATTCTTTTTATTTAATATTTTGTTAAATAATAATTATAAAAATAGTTATGAGATCAGCTTCTAAAAAAATATAAAACTGAATTCAAACATCTGAAAAATATAATATAATAGCATTAAAAATGTTTCTTGTTAATCTAAGGTCTTCTTCTTCTCTTTTCTTTTGAATATTTTCTCCCAGCACTTCTGCAGCTTGTGYTGTCCAGTAGATACATCTTCCAAGGTCACTTAATTACTCACTTCAGAATTCAGTGTTAGTAAATCTATGTTTTATCTTTAGAATAAATAACTTTGTTTTATGTCATGTCTTCATGTCATCCTGCTTCCAGTCTCTTTGTACTCAAGGAATTGAAAATGGTTAAAAATTAAATATGTGTAAAATGATTTCAATGTTAAATTAATGCTTTAAATATCACAAGTGATTAAGTAGGAAACTAATAAGTACCTTGACTGTACTGACTTTTTGGATGTTAGTCCGTCATTGGAGTAAAAAGATGCATTAAATACTATATTACATGCATATAATAAAATTATTTGTTTGTCATTGGAGTAAAAAGATGCATTGAATACCATATTGCATGCATATGATAGAATCATTTGTTTGTCATTGGAGTAAAAAGATACATTAAATACCATATTGCATGCATATAATAGAATCATTTGTTTGTCATTGGAGTAAAAAGATGCATTAAATACCATATTACATGCATATAATAGAATCATTTGTTTGTCATTGGAGTAAAAAGATGCATTGAATACCATATTGCATGCGTATGATATAATCATTTGTTGTAATGAAACTCCATACAAGTTGCATGGGAGAGGCTGCTAATCCCAGTGGTGGTGGAGAAGTGGGGTGTGTGATATTATTGTGCAGGCAATGATCACATACTCCCCCCTCCCCACCCCCCGCTATAGATGGTCTTGGGTCTGATTCAAGTTGATTCATTTAGGGTTATTCTCAGGGTTCTCTAGTTTTGTTCCCTTCAAAAAACCTAACATGTATGCTAAATTCTAATTTGAAGTTTAAATTTAGCTGTGCTCTGACTTTTTTTGGCCCGGAAGCTGTTTCAGGGTATTGATAAAATTTAAAAGTTTTTTCTGCAGTTCATGTGCAATTAATATGTAATTTCACAAAAAGGAAGGAAAATCATGGCTTGAGTGAAAGCCCCACTTTTCCTGCCTATGTCCCCAAGGGAAGGTCAGACGAGGGTATATTGTTTAGTTCATTTTCTTCAATTTAAATGGTTGGAAGTGAATTTCCATGGGTTAAGATGGGGCAGGGAATGGGAAAGTCTAGTGGAATGAATTTATCTTATATTTTTTGCAACTTTATATTTATATTTCATCAGTGGTTTGAGCTCAATGCTATTGCTATTTTTTGTCGTTGTAGATGAGGAGATGATGGTGATCATCAACCAAGAAATGAAGCATGATCAAGCTGGGAGATAAAATGACATTATTCACTAGTCCATAAACTAAATCTTTAATCATTTTTATTTTTATAGAACATTGTTCTGCTTTTTAATAATTGTAAAAAGCTTAGGTTTTTAATTCAAGCAAAGACAAGTGAAACAAAAGGAAAACATTTAAAGTTTTGTAGAAATTGTTTTTAATAGTCATAAAGTAATTTTGTTATGTTTGGGATGATATCCAAACTAGGACAAGAGGCAACTTTGTTTGGAGTGTTGCCAGCAAATTGACTGTGGAATTCATTTTGCATCCATACATCTGTAATCGTGCACTAGGCTGCTTTGTTTACTCCGTAAGCTTGCATTACTACAATTATTTTTTCCTGGCAATATTGAACCCCTGTTATTTTGAACCTCRTTCCTGGTCCCCAAGAGGCTGCACATAATGAAACGCCACTGTAGTTTTAACAAATCTATGTGTGCATGTACATGATTGTATTCCTTCATATTACTGAAGTTAGTGCATTACTGATCTATGTATGTATGTATGGACAGATTCCCTCATATTACTGAAGTTAGAGCATTACTGATCTATGTATGTATGTATTAACAGATTCCCTCATACTACTGAAGTTAGAGCATTACTGATCTANATTCCCTCATACTACTGAAGTTAGAGCATTACTGATCTACGTATGTATGTATGTATAGACAGATTCCCTCATACTACTGAAGTTAGAGCATTACTACTGTTGCTATCTTTATCCAGCAAGAGGAACTGCTCTTGAGATAAAAAGGAGTGTCAATAGTCCCAGTATTAAATAAATAATTATTAATAAACAAAGAATAAAAATCTAAATAGATTTGTTTCTGAATAAGAGGTAATGATAGATACCTTGGATGCCCTCCCCCAGGTGTCCCTGTGACAAACAAAGAAGGCTATAAACATGAATATTATTAGATGTCTTTACCTTAGCCCTGATGTGAGGGGGTAACTGGATCCTCCCCTCTGCATGTCATTCCCTAGAGTACCCAGTTTCTTTGTTTAACGGCTATACACGAGAAGACACGTGAATATAGATACAACTCATACAAAGAATGTTATTCTCAAGAGAATGGCACGTGGTCCGAAATGGAAAACTTTACGCCCAAGTGATATAATATTATTAATAGTAAGGTCAGATTGGGCTTCCTGTGGTATTGTTTTCAAAATGGCGGCCCTTGCAGCCAGACGAGCGCAAGTCGGTAATTTGTCAGTAGACTCTACAGTGTTTTTCCTTTGTGATATGCAAGAGTTATTTCGTAAAAAGATAGCTTATTTTCAAGATGTTTTAAACGTGACCAAAGTTATGGTGAGCAAAGATGATGATGTAGGTTTTTTAACATGAGTTAAGTTTTAGCTAAAAAATCACGTCGTTTACAGATTGAAGCTGCAAATCTCTTGAAAATTCCTATCTTTGCCACTGAACATGTAAGTAAAATATCAATATTTCTATTTATCTATGTAATAGCGCTATATTTTATAATTCATAATTACGGATGGTTCATTATAAATTTATATATCAGGGAGCGGGGTTCTTAAATCCAGCACTTTCCTATCTAGATCCTCCGGTTCCTAGAGAAAGATTTG